TGATTACCTCTTGCTCAAAAACTTTAAAATTTAGTAAAGAAGCTGAAGAACACACACACAAAAAAGTGTTTTCGCTTAAATAAGGCTGCAGGGACCCTCCCAAAGTGCAGCCGCTGCTGTTTTCCTCCAGCACCTCCCGCAAAGCTAAACAACGATAAGAGGAGTAATGAGGAAGAGAAGTGCTTGACAGGCATCCCACCGTGAGAGGTCAGTGGAAATTCCCTCTTCCTGAGCAAAGCCGTTCGCTTGTGCAGTTTCCTTGAAGTTAACTGTTGAAATAGCAACTTTACATCGAGGTGTGTGGTCCTAGAGATAGAAGACCCGGCCTTTGCATACCTGTAAGAAAGTGCCCAGTGACAGGACAAGGGGTAACGGGCACAAACTGAAGCAGAGGAAGTTCCAGCTGAACACGAGGAAGAACTTCTTCCCTCTGAGGGTGACGGAGCCCTGGCCCAGGCTGCCCAGGGAGGCTGTGGAGTCTCCTTCTCTGGAGATATTCCAACCCCCCTGGCCGCGGTGCTGTGCCCCCTGCTCTGGGTGACCCTGCTTGGGCAGGGGGTTGGGCTGGGTGACCCACAGAGGTCCCTTCCAACCCGCACCATTCTGTGATTCTGTGATTTTTCCAGTGGCTGGTACCAATCCCCTTTTTTTCCCATACCCACTCCAGTGGGAATGTCTCAGCATTTTCCTTGAGAGCAGCTCTTGGAGATCAAGGTCTCTACCGAGTACAGATGGGTGTGAACTCTCCTCTCCGGGAGTATTTCCAGCCCCGCCTGGACGCGGTGCTGTGCAGCCTGCTCTGGGTGACCCTGCTTGGGCAGGGGGTTGGGCTGGGTGACCCACAGAGGTCCCTTCCAACCCCTACCATTCTGTGATTCTGTGATTCTGTGACTCTGTGTTTATCCTTGTACTCCTGAAGGCAGGTCAGTTCTGTTTGAGGCTGCTGGGAAGAAATAACCTTTTTATTAGAAATTAAAAAATAAAAGAGAAATTAAAAAATAAAATGTTATTGGAAACAAGATTAATGAGGAGATGCCATGGCATTTACATCATCATGTTGTCTAGTTAAAAAGTAGAATCTTTTGAGAGCAGAATATTGGGAAGTATTTTTGGTTCAAGCACCAACTTGCTAGGTAAATATTTTCAGTTTTTCACCTCCACCATTTGGGTTGTTACTTTTATTCTATTGCATAGGCTGCTTCCACAGAAATTTTCACAGGTACTTGACATTTTTCGTCTCCTCCAATGCTCTGTTTATTACTGTAAGTGTGATCACAGCTTGGTACCTCATATTTGCAGGTTAACAGCTGTGACTCCACTGATACGACAGCTAAGCCTTTGGCTCCCATTTCAGCCTAAACCATGCAGTTGTGCCACCAGCACACACCGGGATTTGTTGCCTTACTTTGAAGCACGCTGGTGACTGTCCGCAAGAGAATTCAGGCACATCCATGATCTGCTTGTATTGGCGATATGAACAAGTGGCTCCGGTGTGAGCCAGAACCTGAGCACAACTAGCAACTGGGATGGGATGGACGTGGCTCCTTGCAAGCAGAAGACCTGTGCGTCTCCAAGAGTTGCCTTCAGGACCTTGTGAACAGGTCTTCGGAGCAGGATCTTCAATGAAGTTTCGGGTTTGGTTTGTTGTTGGTTTTTTTTTTTTTGCTTTTCCCTCCCTCACCACCAGAGAGAGGAGAGGTCTCAGGCTGGAGCACTAACGAGGATGGACACGGCAGTCCACACATGGGTCCATTTAAGCAGCTCTGAAACCTTGCCCAAAAACATTCGCAACAAAATAGTCTGTCTGCCGTGGTGTCAGCCTGGCCCACACACATCCAGGTTATTTATGAACAAATAGAAAATAGAGGAAGAGCTGAGTCATGCACCAAAATGCTGTTCCTGAAGAACAAAATTTATTTTTTTTCTGAAAAAACTGCATACACATGTTCAGATCTGTTCAACCTTCAAAACATGTCTTAA